CTTGGGGTTCAAGCATTTGCTCTGTTAGATGAAGTCCCATATTGCACTTGGTTACCTGCCATTCCAGGTATTATCTAGGGCATTGAAAATCCGCCCCCCCATTCCGCCCCTGAGGCTTGATGGATAGAAGAGAATTTCCACTAGGCAAACCAAATCCCAGTAATGTTATACAAGTGGTAAAGTCCAAATTCTTGGGGTAAAGTTGAATGTTTGTGTTAAAAGGTGTTTAAAATGAGTGACTCATACAAGTTTTAGCTGGTTTGCTTTAAGAAGGGCTTTGTTTGACCTGTTTTGCAATGTGGGCTTTGCTCTGTGCTGGCAATTGCAAAGGAGACCCTCACATTTGGACTTAATGCTTCTTGGGGTCAAGGATATAACTTCTGTGTGTTTCTGGTGGAGACCCTCTTCTCCTTCTGCCCATCTCTCCCCTGGGTCCCAGCATGTCTCTTGACACATAAGTGGTCTAAAAATTGTTGATGGTGAAAATGACAATGCAAATGACTAGTATGTTTTAGAGACTCAGTTTCTGCCAATTTCTACTTGACCTAATATGACCACTTAATCATTAATATTTTTAACTTGCCTATTTAATTATTAAAAGAAAAAAAAGTTTTTTGACTTGATGATTGTGTTTGTTTTGCAACCCTCAGGAAAGGAAGGAGTGGGAGGATGAAGATGGTGGGCAGTAAAGGCTTCCAGGTGAATACTCTGTGTTCTGAGTTCTGGTCTCCTAGTTCCAGAACCTCCCTTGCTGCTTATTCAGGGGATGATCCAGACTGAAGAGCTGTGGTCCTTTTGAACTGGTGCGATTATGTTTGGTTTACCTGGGCCATTATGCCAACATGACCTTTCCTTCCCACTGAACTGGTCTCTCTTACCACAGGCAGCCTTCTGGCTGGTTAGCCTTGAGGTCTGGCAAGAAACAATTGTAGAAGGCTCCAGGGGATGTCATCAACCAGCCATATGATTGATGTATGGCCCTGGATAAGTCTCTTCATCTTTCTGGGTCATGGTTTCCTAGTGAATCACGTTTGGTTGGATTAGAATGTCTCAACCTTGGCATTATTGACATTAGGGGTCATAATTTTTTTGTGGACCCGTCCTGTGCATTGCAGGATGCTAGCAGCATCCTAGTCACTGGATACCAGTAGTACACCTCCACTCTTCTGTGATAACAAGAAGTATCTCCAGATATTTCCAAATATCCCCAGTGGGGAACTATTGCATCAGATGACATCTAAGTTTGAGAAACCACATTAGGAGTTGCTAATTCATCCTATTTTATTGAGATTGTATGTTCTGTACTGTATTAGTTTTTACAGCCTAAATATACTGGTATTCTAGTGCCATCTGCTTCATGAAAATCTGAATTAGAGTAGGAAGGTGTCTACACAGGCACTGAGGTAAAGATTGAAAAAAAAAGAGCTAGAAGTCCTCTTTGGGTTTTTTTTTTTTAGTTTTTATTGAAACAATGTTCTTTTTTAAAAATGTATTTATTTTTTAAGTGAAAGATAATTGCTTTATAGAATTTTGTTGGTTTCTGCCAAACATCAGCATGAATCAGCCATAGATATACATACGTCCCTTCCCTCTTGAACGCCCCTCCCAGCTCCCTCCCATCCCAACCCTCTACGTTGTTCTAGAGCCCCTGTTTGTTGTTCTAGAGCCCCTGTTTGTTGTTCTAGAGCCCCTGTTTGAGTTCCCTGAGTCATACAAATTTGCATTGTCTATCTTGCTAGCCTCATCTGTCAAATAGAAACTATACATTGTTGCCAAGACCTAATGCTTAGTGTATATAAAAGCACCTAGATCGTATAGACATTCAATAATTAAAATCATTCCTCTTTTCTCTCCTCCACCCCAAGAGTCAGCTCTGCACAAACCAGTAACTTTGCCAGCCTTGCTCTTCTGTTTCTGGGAATCTACCCTTATCCTACCATGTGCCTGCAACCTCCTCCCTGTCAAGTCAACATGGATACGTCATTTCAAAAAATAAATTTTAACAGTTTGTTTCAAGGAGTGCTTGTATCACTAGACTGTTGACTTGGTCCATCCATATAGGGACTTCCTCTCCTTAGCAGACAGAAAAGATTCTCCAATAACCAGAGATTTGTAGATGCCATTGTTTGCTGTCGGTTTAGCACAAAAATGACTCTAAGGCATTGAGGATGACAGCACTTTGTGGGTTATCAGGACTCCTGGGGCCTGGATAAAGTCATGGGTTTTATCATGTTTCCTGGGTTTTAAGCATCTCAAGGGCAAAGACCATGCACTGAACATCCCTGGCAGGTCCAACACTATCTCCTCCAAGAAAAACACCCTGGTATTTTATAGCCTAAATCAGTGAGAGAAATTGTGGTGCAGTAATAAAAAGTTAGGTAAGAGAGTTTGAATCTGCATTTTTCCTCTCCATTTAGACCCTGACCAGGGGCTCCAAGGCTCATGAAGACAGTGCAGTTCTCAAAGAAAAAAGGTTCAGGCTCAAATTCCAACTCTGCCAAATACTCTCCAGTTGACCTTGGGCAATTTATGTTACCTTCCTGAACCTGAGCTGTCAGACAGGTGAGTCTGCAATCAGAAGGGTTCCTCCTCATAGGGATGTTGTGAGAATTAAATATGAGAACATACGGAAAGCATATGGCACAATTCTGGTAAATACCAAGTATTCAATAGAAATCAATTTTTATAATAGTAGAAAGGATCTTAAATATGAATATTAATAACAATACATATAGTAGATGTTAAACAGACAAAAAGATGGATGAAAAGGTATAAAATTGACTTGCTATGTTACTGATAAGAAAATAGGCTCAGAAAAAAAAGAGAGTGGGAAGAGGTACCCAGGACATCTTTGCTTGTTAATGCAGATCTTGCATCTCTAGATTCCCCTTCAGACGCTGGTTCTACCATGTTGGAGGTGCCTTTCTGTGTTAGAAGAAAAAAAAGTATCAACAACACTTGTTCAAGATGGCAAGGCAGGCTTCACTCAAGACCACTGTGATAAATATAGAGACTGCTGTAATGGGATTTTGCAGTAGGGGAGAGAGACTGGGCTTAATTCCAAGTTCAGCCTGAGCAAGTGGGGATTTATAGCTAAGGAGCAGGTTGGGGGTCAGTGGGTAGAAAATTGCCAAGAGGAAACATCATGGATGAGGGACATTCTGGGCGGACTGACCTAATAGGATTCTTTGCTGAAAGTCTAAGGTGTTGGATAGCACCTGGGGGGATGGCAGAGGATAAGGAACCTATCAGAGGTCAAAGGTGGGGACTCTGGTTAAACTTACTCAGCAGCATTCTTATGAGAATTGGATTTTATAAGAAAGCATACATGCAGGCCTCGGAGAAGAGAAGGTTCAGGGTCCTGACTAAGGTTTGAATCTTTGTCATTCTTCAAACATTTAAAGCCCATGTTTAGAAAATTGCATACAGACTGAGGAAAATTCACCTGTTGGTCTAAGATAAGAATCATATGTTAAAAAAAAAAAAAAAAGAATCACATGTTGTTTCCAGAGGGATTCTTTCTTCAGGGTAAGAGAGAAATGAGTATTTTATCCACCATGTTTCTGATGCCTTAGGGCTGCCCGAGAGGAAAACTGTGCAGTGAGGAGGCTTTGTCCTCCACGGCTCCAGCCCACACCAGCCTTTGCCCACGCACCAGCTAAGCACTACAGAAAGCACCTTTGTTCCTGCCTCCCATCCTCCAAAAGTTCAGCTCTCACCTTTCAACCCAGGCTCAAGGTTCTGGTGAGTTGACCTTTTGCTTTCATGCTGATATTCAGTCTCGAGAGCCACTCTGATTAAACATCTGGGCACCCAGTATGTTCACCTCCTCAATGAGGCTTCAAGAGGTGTCTCTGGGTTGGCTCTGACCTGTGATTCAGGTCTTTCACCTCTTGCTAGTGAACTCAGACATTTGCTTGGGAAGAAGAGACTGAAGTTTTCAGGCTCAGTGGTGGAGAGAGGAAGAGTTTTAGCAATCAGGGTGCCTTGGCTTACTCTGTCCTTCAATCTTGCCTACTTTGGGACTGCTGGGATGGAGGGTATGTGGGTCTGTTCGCATGTTGGCAGGTGAGATCACCTGTCATTACAACATGAACGGGACCGTGGTTCAAACAACATAACTTGCTGTTCAGTTGCTCAGTCATGTCTGACTCTGCGACCGCACGGACTGCAGCACGCCAGTCTTCCCTTCCCCCACTTGTAAACAGAGTTGTGTTGGCACGCTGCCACATCCCCTTGTTTATGTCTGTCATGGTTGTTTTCTACAACAGAGTCCAGTAGTTGTGATAGGGACCCTGCAAAGCCTTAAATATTTATGATCTGACCCTTTACAGGAAAAAAAAAAGGCTACTGATTCCTAATTTAGAGAGTCTGCGTTGGAGTTAAATACACCTTGGTTCAAATCAGGTCTTAGTTACTCACTCGCTTTGACATTGGAAAAGCCTCATCACCTCTCTGATACCTAATCTGTACATGGGGATAAGAGAGACTCACCTTGGAGAGCAGCTGTGAGAATTCAGTGAGATGGTATTTATAAAAAGTTGCAGTTCTGTGCCTGGCACAGAGAAAAAGCTCAATAAATGTAGCTATTATGATGATCATTCATTCCTTTAGCCAACAAGTACATGTCTAGTGCCTTCTCTGCACTAAGCCTCGGGTGCTGCAGCTGTGACCAAGGCATAGATGATCCCCACGCTCATGGAGCTTACATTCTAATGGAGAAGACAGACAATATGAAGAAAACAAATCAAGAGGTTATTTCCAGCTAGTGACGAGTGCTATAAATAAAACAGGTGACAGGGCAGGGGACAGAGTCAGCTCAGTTGCTACCTGAGCTGAGACTTAAACATAAGAATGAGTCAGCCATGCAGCTATCTAGAGAAGGAATGTTCCTGGCCGAAACAATAAATACAGAAGCCCTGAGCCAGGGGTGAGCTTGGGAGGGTCCAAGAACAAAGTGATGGCCTTGGGGACGGGGGCACAGTGAGCAGGGGGTGGTGATGGTAGAAGACGAAGGAGCAGAGGTCAGCACAGGTAAGAATATGTCATTGCTTGGAGACCCTGGGAAGATGGCTTTTAGAGGCATGGATGCAATCTAAGATGGTAATGGGGCAGAAATGTAACCGAGTCCTTGGCCTTGTTCTGTGATCTTTGTTGTAAATATATTATTCTTCCTTTTGGGTTTCTGGCATTCATTACTGTTAGAAACAGGAGACGAGTAGGGGCCCTCGTGAGCTGGAGTCAGAGTGGCAAACCCATCTCACCACCCCGGCTGGGCACACCCACCTCACTTGGGCTTTTCTCCTTACAGTACCCTTGACTCACCCCAGAGGTCTTCTGGCCGATGCTATTACCCCTTCGAAATCATTCTTTATCAGGAGACTTGAATGCTTCTCCAGGTGGAGCACTTAAGGTAAAAAACACTTAATGTAATTTTAAAACGCCCAAACAAATTTCCCACAACTTAAGACAACCAGATAATCATTTGGTCTCTAGGGTCACTCAAAATTCACAGCTCAGTTCCCATAATTAGCATTTCTTTTGTGTCTGAGCCAAGGAACAGGGGTGAAGAGCCCCAGTGATAATATTTTACCTGTTTGAGGTTGAAAAGAAAGCTGTGATACAATCAGATAAACTGCCTTGAGTTGCCAATAACAGTCACACAGTATTTGCCAGTTCAAAGCCCTGCTGCATGTGTGGCTCACTTAAAGGTGGAAGTGTGCATTTAGTTTATCAACCTTGATTCACTTGGGGTGACTCCTCCTCCCTCTCGTGTTCTCTTCTTCATTCTCCTCCTCCTCCATCATCTTTATCCTCATCAAAACCCTTTATTTATTGGCCCCCTTTCCCCCTGGCTAACAGTAATTAATACTTCCTTTACAATGTGCAAGTATGTGTTTCTGTCTCATTTTGTTTCAGACATTGTTAAAAGAGCAAGATATGAAGGTGGCTCTCTTCCAAGCCATGCTTTCAAACACTGATTCTTAAAATCTGGGGTCCATGAGTGATCATGGATGGGGGTCATGAGCCCCCTGAAATGTAATAGAAACTTTTCACATATACATTTTTTTAAAAGGAGAAAGTCTAGAGTTTCATTAGACTCTCAAAGTGTTCCCTAATTCTAAGAAGTTATGAACTACTGCTATAAAGACTTTACTGACTCAATCTGCAGTGTGAGTTTCAAAGGAAAATTCCAGAACTTTTCTAAGTGGAAAAGGAAAATTTGTAGAGTTGGAGCTGGGGAAGCTGGTGATTCTCAAAAATCACATTTATCAAGCCTGATCTGTGAAAGCAAGTGGGATTGATAATTGGATCAAGTTCAACCTTCCTTCTAGAGGACCTGCACATTTTCCTGGAAATTCTTATTATGACTGGAAACATTATATAGTTCTCATAGACATCGTCCTACAGCCTTATGGATTTTAACTCTTATTCTGCAGAGTAACTCTATAAAGTCTGTACAGTTATTAGTTTCGTTTTACAGATGAGGGAAATGGAGCAAGCGCAGATTAAAACCATACATTAAGTTTTACATTCAGCATCCCAAGACCCTTCATTGTTCTGGATAATATAGTTTGCCCAGCTTTAATTAATAGCTCAGAATAATTCTAATTTTGGATGTGTCCAAATAGTGGCCATGTTGTAACCATGAAGCCCAGGACTCATTAATGACAGGATTTTAAAAGGTGGCAGCTCTGGTTTCATAAATAAAAACAGATTGCAGGTCACGTGCAAAGGCGAGCCAGCTGACTACTCTACTTAATTTGAATTTAGCTGAATCACCATGGTTTATAAAGTGTGGTGACTGACCAAGTAGATAATTTTATTATTGTAGCTATTATTATCACTAAGAAATTTCTGCCGTGTACATAAGGCGTACTATTGCCCTGCAGAACTTAAAGATAGCTAAACCTTATCTTTGGGAGGCTAAAGTTCTTTCATTCCAGGAGTTAATTAGTTGATGGGACTTTAGATATAATTCACCCTTTGCCTAGATTATATTTATTCAAAAATTAATGAGCAGGTGACTTAGAAATTTAGGTGGCCTGTTCTTTAAGAAAATCACTTATAAATAATCTATAGGAAAACTAACATTGTGGATATTAAGGTCTGTTTAATCCCACCTGTAGCCTCTAGTGGCTACTAAGAATTCTACAATTCATGTATGTGGGCTAAATTTACATACAGAGGTAAGATAGGAACACAGGGCTAGAACAGAGACCCTCTGGGAAAAAAAATATTTAACATAGTTTCATAAAGGGGGAAATGTTTTGCCATCTTCTAAGCAAAATTGAATATGCAACAGGAAGTCATCTTAATTGAGTGAAGGGTCAGACTTAATCCCACACCAAGCCAGCAGAATGACAAAGTGGAGACAGGATTTCAACCCATGACCCTCAATTATGGAAAGCCTGTTGTTTAATACCTTACTTCATGTTGAAGGTCATCCTTGTAACAAATTTCAAATATTTTATGGAGTAATATGATGATGACCAGCAGAAAATATTTGGTTAAAGCCACAGTCAATTGTATTATGCTTATTGGGGTTTCACTTTATATCAGGTAATTTAGATCACTGGAAACTGGGTTGATAACACTCTTTACTTTGGACAGATTTTCTTTTGGGAAAACTGTAAGTTAAAAGAGAAAAAAAATTTCATGAAGAGGACAAGGAGAAACAAAACTCTCTGCATTTATTCTTTTTTTCTAATGAGTTCAAAGTCAGCTAGAAACTTATTAAGTATAATTAGAGGAAAGCTCAATTGTAGTTCAACTAAGGCTCATTTTTAGAACACTTTTAAATAAATTTACTTTCATTACTTTTGGGGACATAGATGTTCTAAGATTTTCTTTTGGGAAAGTTATTCTCCTGGGTATTTTCCTTTTTGACAAAGACTGATTCTAGGAGAAGAAAAATTAAAATAAGTCTGTCTCCAGCCATGTCTAGCTTTCCCTTTCAAGTGTTTTCCAATCCCTTCCTTCAAGTGTATTGGGCACTCGCACGCTTCGCCTCGCTCTTAGCTGTGGCTTTCTTATCCATGGTGGACCACCTCCCACTGTGTTGCTGGTTACCCCTGAGGAGCTGGGCCTCTGTTCCCCCTTGCATTATGTTGTTCCCACTACTATGGCTCAGGAAGTGGGTGTAGGAGAGGAATGGGAAATCTGCTTCCTACCTTCCTGTCAGACTTGGGTATATGCCTTCCCCAAGACACGTGAGTCCTAAGCCTCCAAAACTCTAGGTTCATATATCTCTCCTGGAATACTTCTGTCCCTGGAGCTATCTGTGTCCAGGACTCTTAACCACTGTAATAGCCATTCACACCCTCTTTATTAATTGTTGATTAATTGTGTCTTGTATTTAGACATTTAATTAATAGATCTTAAGCATCTGTTTTGTACAAGGCACTATTAGGTGCTAGGGATAAAAAGGAAGGGGATGGGAGATGTTAAGACAGACATTTAAGAGGGAGAGATGATGGCTAATTATATGTGGCTAATTCTACAATTAATTAATATTCATTAAAACTGTGATAAGTTCCCTGGAGAATAAGTGTATGACAGGGGACCTGCCTTAGTCTGAGGGTCAAAAAGTTTTTCACGAGGAGGTGAGATTTGAACTATGTTATATGAAGGATGAGTGGGAGGAAAAAGAGGGCTGTGGGGGAGACCACTGCTGGCAGAGAAGGTAGTTTGTGCAAAGGGAGGGCTGAGCCCCTTTTTCTTAGGAAATGAAAGAAAGTCATGGTGACCGAAGTCAGAGAAAAAGAGGGCAAGTGGGAGGAGATGAGGGTGGTGAGATTAACAAGGGTGGAATGTGCCAGGCACTGGCAGTTCTAAAGGAATAGTTGAAAAGATTTTTGTCAGTTGGAGTGGGGATCAGGCAGAGACATGGAGGTGTTTGACACTGTCTGTGTTGTACTTTCAAATGTTCATCCTGGTTGATGTGTGGCATGTTCGGGAGGGTGATGGGTAGAAAGCAGACATGAGGTGTTCTAGTAGTTAGCTGTTACGCTTCCAGGGAAGGTGGTGAGGTCCTCAAATAACACAGTTCAGGTAGAGAGGAAAATAAAAGGAGATGAGTTTGAAAGCTGAGATAAAATTGTCAGATGTTAGTATCGGATCGAATGTGGGAAGAAGTTAAGAACAACTCCTAGGTTTCTGGTCTGCTAAGGACAGAGTGTGAAGTGAGAATGAAGGAGGGCCTTGAGCTAGCAAAAGATGCCAAGAAAAAATATTCAAGTGGGTAGAAAGCAACCCAGCAGGACATGGGGTTGGTTGTGAAAGCAGAGAAAAGGCTTACACCCAGAGCTTGAGCTTGCTCAACAAGCCATCACTATTCAAGAATCTGGCAGCAGATTATGCAACAGTAGAAAGGTCCTGGCTAAGTCTGGGCAAGCACAATCTAGCCCAATTAGGATCCCTCTTTCAGAAGACAAGCTGCTTTGTTTTCAGTCAGCAACTCAGCTCCACAAACCATCTTGGATCATATATTCCGACAACCGACAGTGGTTTTCAGATAAGTGGTCTTTAGCAATATTTAGGAAGAAAAGGTTTTCCTAAAAGACATAATGTCTTCAGAGGTGCAATTTTAGGTACAAGGACGACAAACTTTTAGAAAAAATAGTAGAGGTGAACTTATTTGCAAAGCAGAAATAGAGACACAGATGTAGAGAAAGAATGTATGGACACCAACAGGGAAAAGAAGGGAGATAAATTGGGAGATTGGGATTAACATGTACACATGGCTATGCATAAAAGAGATTTCTAATGAGAACCCACTGTATAGCAGAGGGGGGAAGAAAAAACCTAATTGTAGGGCATACATTAAGTCAACCTAAAAACTGCATTCTAATACACAGTAGGTACAGACAAATACTGTTTGATTCCATTTATATGAGGTACCTAGAATAGTCAAATTCATGAAGTTAGAAAGTATATTGGTAGATGCCAGGGACTGGTGTGGGGGAGTGGGGGGCGGGAAGGGGGAATGGGGACTTTGTGTTTAAGGGGACAGAGTTTCAGTTTAGGAAGGT